CCTAAGGGAAAGGGTACCATTGTAGAGGAGTTTCTAAGGTTTGGTTTGGTTTACTTAATTATGTAAAAGCACACTAGGGCTATCTGCCTAAGGGGAGGGATGCCTTCGTGCCTTCGTTTCTAAGGGTGGAGTAGTGGTGTATTTAATTATGGCAAAGCACACTAGGGCTATCTGCCTGAGGGGAGGGATGCCTTCGTGGAGGACTTTCTAAGGGAAACTGACTCGTATACACGTTACACATGGGGAAAACCACGAAAACACCCATGCAGCCAGCCCGTTCGCAGGATTCGAACCTCGAACCGAACTACCAGTGTTCAGGGACTTTACCGCTCGGCCGCTGATGGGCCGGACTTTCCAAGGAAAACTAACTCGTATCCACGTTACAGATAGGACGAATCGCGAAAAATATACATGCAGCTAGCCCGTTCGCCTGGAATGAAGCCTGGTGGGCTTTAATTACCTATTTCTTTCAACGTTTTTTAGGTTTTACGTTTTTCATTTTACCATCAAACAAGTGTTTTATTTAAGGAATTTTTCAAGTTGCTTGCATAACAACAAGTAGGACTTTTTGCTTATTTAAATAATACTGAAATAGTTCACTTGCAGCAAAAAGGTGTCTCATAAATTAAGGATATAAAAATTTATGGAAAGCTACTTATCATTTAGTTATTTCCAGAAAGTAACTGCGCTACAGCTCACTACATTGTAGATATATTCCTGAAATACGTTGCAATACGTAAATGACTATCCAACAATGAAAGAAAAAAGTTGATATAATTCGCGCATGCGTAGTTTAAAATCTTCTTTATTTAAAACTCATATCTCCTCCAATAGTAAATGCTTCCAGTTCAAATTTCAGTTTCCTGTTTCGCTTGAATGGGGTAACGTTTCCTGCAACTTTCGTTAAATTTTATTAAAACTCTACGTGAAATTACACACCACCACAGGAAAAAATGGGTCAAGAACCTTATTTCTTTATTAATATACGCAACCTCATTAATTTTATGAAAAAAAACATATAAACATTGCAAATAGCACATAAAACATTTTATGGAATTGAGAATTTCCTGGGTTTTTTATGACGCAAAATGATAAAAATATTTACTTTTTTAATTATTTGTTGTTGTTTCCCTAAATGTAGTCGTGATTGAATTTTCATTGGAAAGTGTGAGTTGAAGCAGGTTTTTATGTAGCCGTAGTTACAGAAAAAGTTGTAATGGATTTCTATATAAGGTTCGGGAGAAAATGTCTAAAATCCATGTGTCCGCTGAATTTTGTCTATGTAGTATATCAAGGGACAAGGAAATGAGACATTTCAGATTAGAGTCATCATCAATGAGGCTTATGTAGCGAAGCGTGTTATAGAAGTAGTTTTGCAAGAACAGTTTCATATATCTAAATGACATTATTGATAAATTTTTGAAAGCATCAGAAAATTGTTTCATGTTAATTTAAAATTGTGTTCTACAGAATGAAACTTTAGAACGAAACTCATTAAAAGATTAGATGAAGGGTAAGTCCGCAGACATCATTAGATATGTCGGACTAGAGAACGTGAAAATTCGAAAATTAGCCGTGTCTCGGAGAAATTCGAGCCAAGTATCTATCAGTTGCTAGTTGAACATATTAATCACTTACGTGACGAAAGCGCTAGCGAGGAACTTGCAATTATTATTTATAGATTATCTTTTCTAAAGACGTGAACAAGGTTAAAGATATTTTGTGGAAGATAAGCATGTCCAGTTCAAGATTATAATCGACAAATGTCTTAGAAAAAGATTATTAGCCCAAATGGGCGTTAGCCCAGAAGGGCTATTAGTCTCAAATGGACATTTTGCTTTGAACCACTTTAAATGTCCAAATCACTTTTCAAATTGTTGCTACCAAATATTATCGCCCTGAAAGATTTTTATTATATTATTAAATTTAATATTTAAAGTAATTAAATAATGAAGAATATACATGAATGTATGTATGTATCTCGGACTGTGAAAAATCAACGGTACCTAGAGTCACTAAATTTTGAATAACACAATCTTCCACCCGAACATGGCCACCTGTAAATCCGAATTTGTAATTTGTAATTTGCTTTATTGTCTATTTTGTAATACTTTAACAAATTATTGATTAAAAAAACCTCAATTTCAAAGCGAGTAATAGCAACATTGTAGTGAATAAACCATTTTTATCTTCAGTGCGCAAGACCACCTATTGGAAATTCTAAAGAAATGCTGTTTTTAAATATTTTAGCACAATGTGACTTTAGCCCAAATGCTCCTGAAACGTTTGTGTGTCTGTAAATAAGAAAAAAACGCCCTTTCGGGTGTAATATAAAATCTGGAAGCTTTCAGATTTTTTATTATTTATTTTAAGGAACTCTGACACAGATGAACCTTCTTCAAATATTTGGCGGCAGTATTGATACTGTATATCATATAAATGGAGAATGCTAAACAAATTATGAATAACCACGTATATTGTCTTTACATAAAATATTGTATTAATATACTAAATATTTTTGTACTTCTTAAAATATAAAAAGTTATTCTATTGGATGTTTTGGATTTGTGTTTCTTAATGCTATAAGAAAAAGTTTCTGAACACCCTGTTTTTATAGAATATGTTCTAATATATGTCCTGAATTCTAGATTAAACATAGAACAGAAACGGGAAGCAAACTTTCAAACATAGCTTCATAAGATTAAAATTTGTTATTACTTTAGAGTATTATTAATAAGATTCTCTTTACAATTCCTTTGAACAATTGGTTCCGAACTGATAATATCAATTTCTAGCTAACATGCATGTGAGCTATTTGTCCAGTACTAATGATTATCGATTACGAATAGAGTTCACTGATAATTCTCGATATAGAATGAATTTGGTAATTTGCACTTCAATCAAAATCATGTGAAACTACATGAAGTTTTTTTCCTTTAACCTCCCCAAAATTATTTACTATCTAATCTTGGTTTCTAATGAGTGAACAAAATATATCAAAATTGGAAAATACCTCGATTTCATAAGCCTAAATTTAGCAAAAGGGAATATTTAACGTAAAGAATAAGCCAATTTTAAAAACAATGTTTCCTTATTTGATTTGAGAGCTTTAAGGAGGAAGATAATTAGTTTTCACTCTCAGTTGTAGCCGTGTTTTTCGAATTCCATAAGTCTGTAAAGAAGCTGGAAAAGAACGAACTTTCCTTCACTCTTTCTCCTCCCTTTTTTTTTTTCTGGAGTTTTTGTTAGTTTGGGGACGGAAATAAGGCTCTTTGCTTTCTAAAATAATTTACTGCGCCAAAATTACTATATTTAACCATGCATGCAATAATTAAGCTGGCCATTTTCCAGCGAATTTTATAATTCAGTAGAAAGAACGGAACGGTGATGTCTTTTTTTTTTTAATCTGGCACCTTACAATATTGAACTAATAGTCGTTATATGTCTGTTTTGATCTTACACTACTCCTTATGCTAAGTCTCCAGATTTTATCACAGAAACTCTTCACCTCTAAAATCATACATATAATATATTATTCTCATATTATATGTATTATTACATTATTAAACATCATTCATGCATATGCTAGCAACAAAGATTAGTAGTCATCTTCAGTTAAATAAATTTACAGTACTAAATCTTCAAAACTAGATCTGCAAATTTAGATAACTTACACTGAAGTATCTTTAACATTTTTTTCGGCATCGTATTTTAGCTGTGACTGGCAAAGCCGTACTAAAAGATATAGAATATATTTTGTGACTTCTTTATGAAAGTACGTGTGTCGTGATATCTTTCCATGAATTTTAGTCAATATATTAAAAGTATTCTAATTCGGGTATGAAGTACTAGGTGTATTTTGACATTAAAATTAAGAAATTACACCTTTCTCATGGCGTTTCAGTTTTGGAAATTCGGGTTTTCTTAGCAAACACCGTGTCGGTTAGAGGGTTAATATTATCTGTAAATTTTTGTACGATTTATGTCGCAATGCGTACATGGTGATGTGATCATATTTAGTGTCTTATAAGTTTTTCATTTCTACACTTTTCAAACAAAATTAATCGAATATGCGAATTTGGAAAATGTCTAATACGTTAATTTTTTTCTTTTTTGTCTTACTCAGATTTTTCAAATGGCTGTAACACGTCATTTGCTTAACTTGTTTGATTTCCTCAATTTAAACATTTAAGAAAGAGATAAAAATCTCTTTAGTAAATTTTAGTCTATACTCTTGTGTTTTCTGACAATGAAGTTTTAGATAAAATAGTTTTACTCCAGTAGTGCAAAAGCAGACTCTAAAGCCGCTGCAACAAAGATGCATCTTAATATCTACACAATTAATTATATCAAGATTAATTTTCCTTGCTGAACTGATCTAAATCGAACACAGCAAATGAAAGGCGATCAGGATCCAGTTATATACAGCTATGTGCATGAGTTTCAGATGAGAGTGACATGTGAACTGAATAATATTTTGAAGTTATTTTATATATGTTATTACGAGATTCTCAAAACTGGTGACACTTTCCGATTGCGTTAATGTACAACCAGCTGAAATTCATTTTTCTCTGAAGTGAGGGACTGACAGATTGTTACCTTATAAAATCAGTTCCATAAAAGGCAAAAGGCCGATATGAATAACTAGTAAAGTATCCTTGCATATTTAATTGAAATCAAACTATCTCTGTCTCGTTTTATTCTTTACTGACCTATTATATGCATGAACTGCAGATTTGTCTTCAAAATTCGTCTTATTGAATTTACTATTTTTTACGAAACATTTTTAACGATTACATAGTCGTAAGTCTGGTATGAAAGTTAGTTGAATAGAATTGTTTGAAAGAATATTATCTCAATTTATTAATCCCCAAACATAAAATTCTCTTTTCTGTCTCTCGGTGTTATTCTTAATATTTTAAAGCAATCTAAATATATATAACACCATAACAAGCATGAATCTGTAATTCTAATGCAGATATCTTGTTTATTATTTCCAGGTACCCCGACGTCAACTGGTCGATTACGGCTCAATACGCTCTCAATCTTCAAACCTTGTATCCAGCGTCTTGGGACTCCGGTTTCATGTTCAGCAACACCACCTACGTCAAGGAGAGCTTAGACTTCGATGCGAGTCGACCCTTGCGAAAGAGATACTCCGTCGCAGGGAAGATATCATATTCGAAGGGCGACACGAAACAGCTGAGCTTCAAATAGCACAAATTGCCAATTCGGGTATATATTGACTTTCATTCTTAAGTTATTGGCTGATAATGGAGAAATATTACACAGGAAAGTTTCGTGATATAACATTCTCTGGTTTGGAATACTGGGTAGAAATGTTCACTTAAAATGAGGTCAAGTTATCTGCGAAGAGCTGCGGTATTTGAAACTGAAGTCTAAGCGATACGCATGCTGTTTTAAAACTGTTTTCCACGGAATAACTAAAGTCAAAATTACGTTGCGAAGTCTAGCCCTGAAATCTGATACCGAAAATAATTATTTTGACCATATCTTAACTTCTATTTCTGAAGTTTAGCTCTGACGGAGCTTAAATAATCATAGATACCCAAATAACACAAGGATAACTTCAGGAAAGCCAAGACATTTTATGGTAACTGTTCCTCCAAGTAATAAAGTTACAATTTAAAAACGACTTCTCCTGCTAGTGATAGCGTGCCATATGAAATTCTAACACCTAACAAGTATATATGAAACCTTATATCCGTAACCACAAGAGATTCGGTCAGTAAATTGAGTTCTCATCAAATTTTAAACCATTTACTTATTGATCCCAAATGCACAGACCCTAAATATTGACATTACTTCTCTTAATCACATTTAATGTCAGAAAGGCACAGATACCACGAGATTTGCACAACAGTAATTCTCGCAACTATAGGCTATCCTAACATTAGTGTTCCAAGATTGTTAGCTAACTCTTCATAGCTTATGGACTAAACTAGTATGTGACCTAGAAAATGCAGAATGGGCAGGAAAGAAAATAGATTGGTTAAAACTTAAAAATATGTATCATACTGTAACTAAAGTATACTACTTACAAAGGAATAGTCTTTGAGCTTGATTAAAAATTCGACTAGTTTAGGGAATTTGGTTAGATGACTTCAGGGATACAAACACGCAAATGAAGGGAGAAGGCACGAAGAAGCTACTTTTCTTTCATAGCACGCATCTTCTGAAGACTTTCTATCTTAAATATTTACTCATTATTCTCCCACAATTAGAATAAAACTTCTCAGTCAGAATATCTCGTTTCAAGAAAGCTTTTGAAGACCTGATGGTATATTAAGCTGTTTACGATTACAAATGACTTACGCATACATAGGTGCGTAATTGCAACTGACAGAAATAAAATTTGATACTGCTTTGAAAGCGAAATCTTTGTGAGGAACACATGGAAGGAATATGTGCCATTTCTATGATCTCACAGTAATAGCGTGGGCAGAATAAAAAGTAACACACAAGAAAAAAGTAATAAAACACATAGTAAAACACAGAAAACGAGAGCGTAGGAGAGTAGAAGTAACTGGATTTATGAAATTTTCTTAATATATATCGAGATGCAAACCTTGGAAACTATGCATTGTTGGCATGTGTGAAGACGATATCATATTTGTGACAATGGAGCGCTACATAGCGTTAGTCCCGTAGTAAGTACCTTCCATATTTCTAAGGAAGTTTTCAATTTCCGGCTTTTTAATGGACAGAAATGGTATTAATAGAGACCGTTTCAAGATGCAAATTTCAGTCTATTCAGTTTTTCAAAATATATATTAATGCTCATCTTTGAAGATTAAGTTATTATTTACAGTTAAAGCTCTCGGGTGATGATGATGACCTAAACAATGAGACTCTGGTGAAGAAAGTTGGCTTATATTTGTATTAGATAAAGAAGAATATACCGAAAACATCCTACCTGTTTTGCTGTCGAACTGCAAACCCGCGGGAAACGTTATCACTCTTTTAAGGCTTTAGCTATTCCCCTAATTAATATATCTTATTCTTTAAAAAATCAGCGATCTTGTGCAAGAACGCCTTTCTGATTCCTTCCTTTGAGCTTCCGTCTGTCATTGCCATCCAGCTCATTAAATGTAAAATTAAAATTTAATCAATTAGGTAAAGAGTGGCTATTTTATTAAATTTCTGCTTTTTCGTCAAATAATAAAATAAAATTTTTGCCGTAGAACTTATTAATGAGATTTTATAATTTTGTTAATGAGTTAATATTGTGTATGCTTTTATATTTACAAAATATATATCAAATAGATTAATACATTAAATTATTGCATATGTTTTTATATTTACAAAACATATATCAAATAGGTTAATTCATTAAATTATTTATAATATATTAAACCATAAATAGAATTTTTCGAATAAAGTAAAACACTTCTCAACTAAAATGGTAGGGGAAAATAAAATAATTGAGTGAGTGAGCTGAAACTGCAGACAGCTGCTCCTTTTTCTTTGATCAATTACTTTCTTTATCTCATAATACTTCTAAATATACACTGACTACCAATAAAGTATTTGGACACCTATGCAAATGACGATATCTGCGGTCCTAAGGTACGCCACGGACTCCGCCGGTATATATCGCATAGGAAACAGCATCGGCTTTAGTCGCATGCAAGATGCCTCGCAGTTCGGAGCTCTCTGATTTCGAGAAAGGTATAATTATCGGGTATCACAAATGTGGCCGATCCTTAAGGGACATATCTAGAGGTCTGAAGTACCCAAAATCGACAGTGGCCTATGTGATTAAGAAGTGGAAGGTGAGCGGTGATTGTCGGAATGTACCCCAAGTCGGCAGACCAACGAAACTGGGAGATAGAAACCGACGACTGCTGTCCAGAGAAATTTGGAAGAACCGCACCCAACCGATGGCCGTCATCCGCGAGGAGTTTCAACAGGCATCCGAGAGTATTGTTTCAATGAATACCATCCGTAAGAAAGCACATCTGCTTGGTTTTCATTGTCGTGCTGCTGCCCATAAGCCTTTGATCACAAAGTCCAACCGCGCTGCTTGGTTAATGTGGTGCAAAGCAAATCGAAATTGGACCGTAGATCAGTGGAAACGGGTTCTTTGGAGTGACGAATCAAGGTTCACCCTTTACCGTTCGGATGGCAGGGTCTGGGTCTGGCGTCTACCTGGAGAACGTCTCCTGCCAGAATGCATTGTGCCAACAGTCAAGTTCGGCGGAGGTGGAATTATGGTCTGGGGGTGTTTCTCCTGGTATGGGCTGGGACCCTTGGTCCCCATTCATGGTAAGCTCAACTCCGATGCCTACTGCACTACTCAAAAATAGTGCATACTGCACTATTTTGGATGACAATGTGCTTCCTACATTGTGGCAGTTTTACAGGTTGGACCCCTGTTACTTTCAGGACGACAATGCCAGTTGTCATGTTTCGACGTTAACCAAGGCTTGGTATGGTGCCAATGGAGTTCATCGAATGGACTGGCCTGCCCCAGAGTCCAGACCTGAACCCTATCGAGAACCTCTGGGACGAGTTGCATCGCCGAATTCAGGGGTTCACTACCCGTGAAAAATCGGTGAAGGAACTTCTATGTTTTCTCCAAGCCGAGTGGAACAAAATACCACTAGCTGTTATACAAAGACTTGTGGAAAGTATGCCCCGGAGGGTCCACCCTGTAATTACCTTTCGTGGAGGCTCTACCAACTATTGATTTTGAATAAAGTTAGTTTTTCTTTTCTATCACAGGTGTCCAAATACTTATTGGTAGGTAGTGTAGTAGTAAATATATATTTTGCATTATAAAAGAATCTCACCATATCGTAGGCAAAGTAGTAAATTATGAAATTTCAGCGCAGGAGAAGACTGTCAAATATCTATGCTCTTTAATGGATCTTGTCAATTACGGGATGTCGCAAAATGATTTACATCAAAGCAAGTATTCTAATAAAAAAGTATAGCTCCAAAAAATAACGATTTCACGCCGAATGAGCAGCTTAGTTGCAAGTATCTCCATTTCTCCAGGCTAAAACGCCTCTGTTTAAAGTTCACTGCATTTCGAAATTCAGAAATAAAAGCGTCATCTTTGGGTAATTAAACAACATAAAGAAGAACTTGACTTGTTGCTATATGGCATGGACTCAAAATGGTACAACGTTACTTGAAATGAAGAGATGAATTTGAATTTATGCCAAATCGACTGAAATTACTTATCACGATTCCAGAGAAGGCGATCTGTAGTAGTGGTATTAAGTTTTGTATGCCATTCTTCTATCAGAAATAGCCTCAATTCTTTGAGACGATGGGACAGAAAAAAGAGGTATCTTTCTATTTTCTATCTCAGATAACAGTGGTTCAATGATATGCAGGCAATTGAAGATGTATAATTTCATCTTCATACTCTTCAAACTACGACGGAACAACTTGACTTTGGTGAATGATTCTATTATCATCTTTAAAGATATAGTTACTTGTAGGAGACAGTGCTTGCGCCATTGAATGGGCATGATCACTTAAAAAAGATAATGTAGTCAAGTGATATTTATTCTTTCTTATCAAATTATAATCGGACCTACTACAAACCATGACATAATTTCCCAAAGTATAATTGAACTTACTATGCTTAACTGTAAGGAAGCAGACTGAACAGATTGTAAACTTCTGTTGATGTTTTCCGTACATAAACGTCTCCTGAGATGCCAAATAGTGTGAACATTATATCAAAACAATACTTATTTCCATTAATGAAATTTCCACGGTTTATGTTATTGACACTGTTGTGGTCTGGATTCTGGCAAAGCACACGAGGCAAAACTACCTAAAAGGCGAGGTGTCTTTATGAAGCACTTTTTAAAGGATTATCGCTCGTATTTATGCATCAGGAAAACCACAAATACTCTAGTGCAGCAAGTCTGTTACCCCAGATTTGAACTCGGGCAAAACTACCCGCGTTAACGATCTTACCACTCGGCTGCAAGTGGACCCTTTATTCAGTAAGAAAGAGAATAGCAGCTTCATATTCTTCTTGTGAAGCTTTCTTTATTGTTTATGTGTTTGGAAAATGGTTTCTCTAGTGCATATTAAGAGACGCAGCCAAATTTATGTAGCAGCATTCCTTTAGACGTAAAAGTCTTCTTTAAACTCTTTAACTCCTTTTGGCTTCGTCAGTAAGGTTCGCTTTCCTACCACAACTGTGTGCCGCAGATCATGCTTTGCCGAGAATATTAAATATTCTC